TAAGTTCCTATTCCGTATTTGTAACAACAACCGAGGTTTTTTTCCCCGCATTTATTACCACCTTTAGCTGACTTCATAAACCATTCGAAAGCTTTAAAATAATTCATAGAAGTTCCTATGCCATTTTTGTAACATTCTCCAAGATTGTTTTGTCCAGAACTATTACCATTTTCTGCAGATTTCAAATACCATTCAAAAGCTTTCTTGTTGTCTACGGGAGTTCCAATACCATTTTTATAACAGTCGCCCAGATAATTCTGACCTGTCCTATTTCCCCCTTCAGCGGATTTCTGATACCATTCAAAAGCTAATTTGTCATTTTTATTCGTTCCTATGCCATATTGATAACAATAACCAACATCAGATTGTCCTATACTATTTCCACCTTCAGCAGATTTTAAATAATAATTAAAAGCTTTCTTTTCATCTTCAGAAGTTAATATACCATCACGATAGCATTCACCAAGATTTCGGTATCCTAAATAATTTCCATTATCAGCTGATTTCAAATACCATTCAAAGGCCTTTTTTTTATTTTTTGAAGTACCTTCACCAACTTCGTAACAATATCCAACCTTATTTTGCGCTCTTGCATTTCCTTCTTTTGCGGATTTTAAGAACCAATCAAAAGAATATTTTTTATTTTTAAACATTTCGTGATTGTAAAAGTCTCCAACATAACATTTTCCTAGACTAGATCCTTTGGCGATCGATTTCAAAAATAAATAAAGCGCTTTTGATCTATTTACTTCCACACTCTTTCCATCAGTATAAAGTATTCCAAGAGAGATTAATCCAATAATTTGATTTTCTTTTAGTAAATTATTTGTAAAATAGCAGCTACTTAAAGTATTACTATGATCAAGACAATAATCCTTAGTTGCTTGGTTATACATGTCAAGTGCTTTTGAGTAATTAATAGCTGTTCCAATTCCATGTTCATAAAAAAATCCAACTATGCTTGTAAAATAAAATCTATATTGATGGTTGTAATATTCGTCAAGAACTTTACTTGGTGTTTTGTGATTGTCGTTTATGCATTTATTAATGCAATAAATTATAGAACTAGATGTATTTTTTGAAACTCCTTGGATTTTGTATTGGGATATAAATAATTGCATCAAATCATGAAGAAATTTGTGTTCGTCATTAATTATTTCTTTATTTGTAAATAGAGATTTTGAAAATCTATATAATTTGTCACTTTGCCTATCAATTATATTATTTTCCTTTTTAATAATTTTCATTATTGATGTGATTAATTCTAATTCAAAAGTGGTTCTATCATACAAATCGGTATAATACTTTAGCAACTCCGTCGTATTTAAACTTACATCTTTTGATTCTGAAATGGCTTTAAGCTCTATTTTGTTATCGAGTTCCGTAATAATTTCTTCGTTATTCATTGAATTATAATTGTAATCAATGTTATTTAAATCTTCAAAAACATGTTGAATAGTAGGACGCTGGTTTGAATTAAGCTGCCAGCATTCTAGATAATAAATATAATATTAATTAATTATATTTAAAAGATTAATTATATAAATCAATCGGGTCTCTATCATTTTCCCGACAAAAATTGACCGGAACTAACACTAACTCTAACTAATGACGGGCTAACTTGTCGGGATTTTGACATTGTCGGGAAAATAATTGGATCCGAATCAATCTAACCTGTATATATTTTCATGTATTTTTTAGGTGTTCCAACGATTGCAACTTCTCGTTTACCGGAAACGATAGCAATAAATAAGTTAAAATCATAAGGTAATTCAAATTTAAATGGAATAATACCACTGGAAATTTGCCAAAGAAGAACACCAATACTATATATATCTGAGCTTTTATTAAGTTTATGGAGTTGAAAATACTGAGGATCCGTATATGGAATAAATTTGTGCATGTTTGAAAATTCGTTCTGAAATTGAAAAGCACTAATCTTTATATCTCCTCTGTTGACAAATATACTATCAGAGTTCTAAAATAAATAATATAGCTTAGTATAAACATTTTATTGAATATAAATACAAAAAATAATGACAATAATAATAATAAACACCAAATTCATATGAATTATATCATTTTCATGTAAGCATTTAATAGCACTAGTAAGCTGTTTTGCAAGACGTAACTTATCATTCCAATTAAGGATGCTGAAATTTTTTGATAAATATTGATGAAAGGTTCCATCACAAGGATATTCACGAATTATAATAATTTCATGCGTTTTTTCTTCAATAATGCTTATTAATTTTAAAATGTTTTCGTGCAATTCTACTTTTAAGTATTGTTCTAACTTAAAAAGTTATGATATATTATTAAACAATAATAATATAACTTATCAATCCATTAAAATACAAATAAACTTACATTGTTAATAAAACTTTTTAGTGAATATTTTCGTGAAAACACAATTTTTTTTATAACCACAGTTTTATTATATTTTCTTAAGAAAACTTTATAGCTATTACTAATTAATGACTTTCCATTAGTTTCATAATTTCCAAAAGGATTGTGCTGAAAAACCTTGAGTTGGTTTTTGAAGTGTTGAAACATGGTTATAACTTTAATTATGGAAGTAATTACATGATCAAAAATTTATAATGGTTAAAACTAATACGTATTTGAACCTTTTATTTTTTCAAGCGTTACACGATATACGTCATTACCATTGCTCTTGCGTGTAACAAGTTAGTGGTGCACGTACGTATGTACAGTATTACGATTCCGGAAGATCTATGGTACGTTGCGGCTGGATTTAGCAAGAATCGTAAACATAATTTTAAGGGGTTTGGCCCAACTTGAGGTGATTGGATAGTTTTTGATTAGTAATCAAAAGTCAACCAATCGCATTTATTGTCTCAAGGTGGATCGGGCCTCACTTTGGTCCTTATAATAATAATGCAAACAAAAGCAATTGTGGTACAAGTGACTTTATCTTGGTTAGTTTATTGGAGAGAAAAAGGTAATGAGCGCCTTTTTCTACCATTAGTGACAAGTAACCCTTTATATAGAGCTTTTACTATCGCTTAAAAGGAAAGAAAATCATAATGTAAATGAAGCAATGATTTATAGCTATAAAAAAAAATATGTAGCAATGGTGCGAAAATAAATTGACTACTTTAATTAAAATGATTGCTATTACTAATAAAAAAATATTAAGGAGGAAAAGTATAGCAATAAAATATATTAGTGACAACAACCGTATTAGTGTTACCATCTTAGAACATTTCTTGGCCAATCAAATTTCAAAATCGAATCAAGTGCAACGCGAAAGAACGCAAAAAATCATATTAGAATTGATAGTTAATTTGGCAAATTGATGTCAAAATTCTCAATTTCTTTTATTTTATTAACAAGCATTTTACTATAACAAGTAACTCTAGATATAAGAAACTTTTGATATATGACAAGATTTTGCAAATCAAAATAAAGCTTCATAACAAAAAACCTTCGGTACAGAAACACAGGCGAAAATCAAAAATCCCATTTATCTATACCAGTAACGGAGTGATTTGTAATATCACAAAGTGTATGGTTACTCTGGTATTTTTTAAATGTGTACGTCCGCAAAATCTTATACCTGATTGGACAATGTGATAAACGCAATAAAAACGTGAAGTTCTGCACTTTTCTATACCGTTTTAATTGCATAAAGAAGAACGTGGCTTGGTCTCTAAATTCACATATTTTACAGGTTAAGACTTGATTAACGAACTGATATTGCTTTAAAAGGAGCGATGATTGTTTATAAAAAGCTTATTATTATTATTACGTACGTACCATTGATGCTTTGCTTAATTTTAAAATCGAGATACAATATATTAATTCTTTGTCCAGTGTTTAACTAAAAAAAGCGGCAGAATCCTTTGTTAAAGCGTGGTTTCTAAATCTACTTTCCAAACAAGTTTTTATCCCGATTAATGGTTGTAATATTATGCCAAATTGTGCATCGAATATAATTTTTTTATTTTGCTCTAACCAAATATATGGATAATAATGCTGAACAAAAATAGTCAATTGATAATATACCGGAATTATTATTATTCGCTTATTATGTAAAAAAAAACACCTTCACACGTATATGCGTACTGTATGTACGACAATGCGGTACCATATCTGAGTTTCGAACAATGTTATTTGATAAAAAAAAAAAAAAATTATATATAATGCTCTAGAATAATTATTGTTTGTAAAACAAGAAATCTTAACATGTGCTAACGATTATTGTAAACTTACCTGATGAATATCTACTATACTATGTAATATCGATATTACGAAGTATATAGTTACTATGTCATTTTAAGGCGTACGTCCGCAAATCTTATAACTGATTGGACTATGCAGTAGACACAATAAAAATGTGAAATCATGCACATAAACTTCACAATATTGCATCACATAGCACTATATTTGTATGTTATATGAGGTTTGTCTAACTATATGAATGTCTAAACTGGTATCTTTCATCGCTTTAGCTAAAAAAAATTGGAATCTGGAATTCATATACTGTAACAGTAGAATATCTAACATATTATTTATCAATTTGCGTGTGAATAAAAATGTGGCGCGGTTTTACTAAAGATTTCCAAAATTGTTAATATGCAAGTTTAATCTTGATTATATCTTTTGTGCAGATTATGTAAACCTAATTCAAGTTTCACCTTCTATTTTTGATTGGTCGTACCCAAAAGCGTGATATTGTGTACAAAAAAAAAATACGCGACCGAATTATTAAAGAGCAAAAAATCTATAATATCCTTATCCATTTCTTTGATCTGCAACTAGTTATTCATAAATACTGCATATGCAATTTGCGAGTTTATTAGCTGCCTGATACAAGGTATCGGATAATGTATTATCATGATTTATTGTATAATTTCGTATGTGACTTATTTCAAAAGGAAATTTTTCGTGCATTTTGTGTATATAGAACTTGTCCAGGTTAGCACGATATTCGAAATTAAATAAGGTTTTTTGCGGATAGAATTTGTCCGGTTTTTCATCCCACCTCAAAGCCGCTGTGACATTTAAGGTAAACAACATTTAAGTATTATGTATAAGTTATTCAATCGATACCCTTAAAATCTGCATTGTTAGTGTGTATTTGCACGAAAGGCGAGAGAACAGAATACCATGTTATAATTCAATTGTTTTGTAACACTTCCCAGATGAGAGACAAAATATTTGATCGCTTATTTATCCCAATTACATATTTGACGTGTTATTAATAAAAAATTACAAATTAATAATCTTTAAAAAGACAAATTTATGGCGACCCACCGAATTCTTGCCATTCTTTTTTCTTGCATGTCAGATTCTTTTCTGGATAATAAAAAGATCAATACAAGCACGTAATTCGTATTCGACCTATCTAACATTTCTAAATCAGATTAGTTATACGTCGATTCATCCGTTCCTCGTTTAGAGCACTGCGTCGTGCAGCTTACTTATTAGTTATTAATCTAATATTAGGGCTGATAGGTTGTAGTTTTAGAAAATTGATACATATCAGGTAATATCAACTAATATCAACCTATCTGATAATAAATTTGTATATTAATAAATACATATGTCGCGCATCAAATTAAAATTTGCAGAGTTTTATTAGGGTTAGAGTGGTTACCTATGTTGGTTATTAGCAGAATTATGATAATTGTAATCTGACGCAGATTTTAATTTGACGTACAACATATAAGGTAGAAAGGGGTGGTTTTTGTGAATCGGGATCTAACGAATAATTTTTATACAATATAATTCTTCTCAATCAGACGAGACAAATGGTGCAAAAATAATTCAATTTCGATCACTGGGTCATGAGATATTGGTGTTTGAATTTTACAAATGAGTGTCGCTGAAAGAAAACCCGAAAATTTAAATATAAATCATATTTAAATTTTCGGGTTTTCTTTTAGCGACACTCATATGGTGCAAGCCATCTATACTCAACAGTTACACGAAATGTTTCAATTTTTTAAATGGCTATAACTTTTTATCTAAGTTTCAAAAAAATCTGACTGGTAACTTTATATAGCTATCAGCCCTACATATGTGCCATATATATTTTCAAAATCTCATCACTTTAAATAGTTTTGACGATTTGAAAATTGAAATTCTATATATAAATTTATATATAAAATTTCAATTTTCAAATCGTTAAACTTTTTACAGTAATGAGATTTTGAAAGATATTTGGCACATATGTAGGGCTAATATAGCTCTATAAAGTTACCGGTCAGATTCTTTTAAAACTTAGATAAAAAGTTATAGCCATCTTTATCTAGCTAAAACAAATTTTGGAAAATGTTTTTTCTATCGTTCACTATATTTAATAACCAATATGATATATTGTTTTCATTTGACAGAAGTTAGTGATACAAATCAAAATCGAAATTAATCAATTAGTTGATTAGTTGACAGCTAATCAACTGAACTTTTTAGACACCAACTAATCGATTAAAGAATTAATTGATTAGTTGTAGTACTTTTGGATTGTAAATAATTGTCTTTCAGGGTTATGAGTATAACAATATAGAATGCGTGTATTTGATTATAATATTATTTTATTTTTATAGGTTAGTGTTACAAATCATCAAAATTTTTTAATTGATTAGTTGCAACTTGAAATATTGTGTAGTCATCCAATGTTTGTCAAAATGTTGTGAAGGTCCATTTGAAGTGTCTCTAAAGCTGGGAAAGTGGGGTAATGCAAAATTAATCATAGTTAATTCCTGAATTTTTTTATGATATGACTTGGATATTCAGATATCTGTTAAATTTTAAATAAGAAAAATGGATAACGAACACATCTTTAATCTCGAATATAATTATACTTTTATTTATAATTTGAATATCATTATTCTAATAAATAATCGTAAAATCAATTGAATAAATTGTATTATCTGTTATTGTTATTGAAATTAAATTTCAATTAATATTTCAATATTAATTTACATTACAATTATCAGAAATCACAAAGAATTTGATGATTTAACATTTAGTTAATAAGGTAGTTGTGTAAAAAAACATATCTACGAGCCCTTTTTTAAACATTCTTGATATTGAATTGTTATCATAACGATAATAGTAAAAAATAATATGTCAATTTACTCTTTTATCCCACAAAAAGATGCAAGTAACAGTTTTCAAAATTTACTTGAAGAATGTATTGAAATTATGATAAAAAATATTAAAAATGCAATGGAAAAGAAAAATTTTGAAAGAAAAATTTTTGCAAATTATAAGTTCAAAATAGAAAAAAGTAAGGTTAGTTTATTTATTTTTAAAATATTTTTATAATACTATTATTAACTTATATTGATAGAATGGATACGATATAAAATTTGAAGAGAACAGTTTGTATTACTATATTTAAGAATAAAAGGAGGCAAAATTTCCTTTTGATAATTATTGTAAATAGAGCTGCTTTTATGTTTTATCTGCAAATTATTTTTATAATGCAATTAACTAATTTACTTTTAGAGATTTTTCTAAGAAACTAATTCATGTCGAGAGTAATGAATACTATTTACAATGTATTAAAAATGAATTAAGTT